CACCTTGTTCGTGGGTGTTCCACTTGCCTCCGATACACATGCCCATCATGTGTGCACCCCAGCCCGACAGGGAAGCATCCGTGGTCAGGGTGATTTGGGGTGATGGAAGATGGAAAGGTGCTCCATGGAAGAGATTGGGACAGTCCACCAAAGTAACGAGTCTCGTATATTGGGAGGGGGGGTTAGGATGACGGTATGTGCGTTTTTCGTTGGGACATACTTGCGGATAAACCACAGTTGTAGTCGACACATTTTTAGTCTGGCAAAGACAAGAACCAATGTAGTTATGGCCATAAGGCTGAGAAGCCTCTGAATTTGGAAAGCAGTGACTGAAGGCTGGGTACGGACGACATTGGTTAGGGAAATGATGTCTGCCGCTCTGTCTTGTGGCAGGTAAGCCATGCATGTCTTGGAATCCAGTATAGCACCGATGTACTGTATTCTTTGGACTGGACACAAATGAGACTTCTCGTGATTGACCTGGAGTCCTAAATTTTCTAATAGTGCCAACGTCTTGGTGATATTTGAGACCAGGGCGTTCTTTGAAGGTACTACCAGGAGCCAATCATCGATATAGGGGTAGATGGAGATACCCCTGAGACGGAGAAAAGCTGCAACGACAATCATAGTCTTTGTAAAGTCCCTTGGGGCTCTTGACAGGCCGAATGGCAGGGCTGCATATTGGTAATGCTGTTGACCAATTGCGAAGCGTAGGTATTGGCGGTAGGAGGGGTGGATGGTGAGGTGGAAGTACGCGTCTTGGAGGTCGAGGGTGGCCATCCAGACATGTTTTCGGAGGAGCAGCATAATCTGTTGCAGGGACACCATGCGAAAACGGTGGTAGGTCACAAAACAGTTCAGTGCCCTTAGATCTAATATGGGTCGAACGCCTCCATCCCGCTTTGGAACTGTAAAATAGCGGGAATAGAATCCCTTCCTCTTGATGGTTCCCTTGTGCAGAAGGATGGAAACCTCTTCCAGGAGAGGTGGAGAAGGGGGTGTGGAGACGACAACAGGAGTAATGGGGTTCTGGTAGAATTGGATACGGTAGCCTCGGGTCAAGATGGACAGCACCAATTTGTCTGAGGTGATATGACGCCAGGTGTGAAGGAAGGGTGATAGACGGGTTTGCACTGACTCGGTGAGAGGGAAGTAAAAAACCCTGTTTGGAGGGTTTTGCCTGTTTGGTGCGAGAAGAGTTTTCCCAGATCCAAAGTGTGGTTTTTGGAAGGTGGGTTTTTGGTCTCCTGAAGAAGTCCGCGGTCTCCATTGTCTGTCAGGAGACTGACGACTTGGGGTATGCCTTTGTCAGGGCCTTGACCAGGTGTGAGGACGGTATTGTTGTCTCGCAGAGGATGACACTCCCAGAGCCTGAGAAGCCTTTATACTCTGATCCATATCCTGGAGTATGGAATCGGTACTGCTGTTAAAGAGACCGAGGCCATCAAACAAAAGCTCTTCAACGTAAGACCTAGTATCTATAGATAGACTGGTATTACGGAGCCAGGAATGTCTCCTCAGAGCTAATGCAGAGGCCATCGTTCTTGAGGACCCATCTAGGGCATGTTTTGAAGTGTTGATCTGCTGTTTTGCCAACACCATGCCTTCCTTTTGAATAATTCTGGCTGCCTGTAGTTTATCTTCAGGAAGATGAGTTAGGATTTCAGAAAACCTTTCCCACAGAGTGTATTGATATCTGCTCATGAGGGCTAGGTAGTTAGTGGTTTTCACTCCCAACGCTCCCGTGGAGTAGAAGCGTCTGCCAAAGGCATCCAATTTCTTACTTTCCCTGTCAGAAGGTGCAGAGTGAGTTCTTTTAGATTTGGAGGAGGAGGTTACAACCATAGAACCAGAGAACGTCTCGATATCAGAGTAAGGACACTCCAATTGGTGTATAGGGGAGTCAAATAGTTGAATGGTCGGTATCGGTGGAGAGGCTTGGGCCTCCGGTATCAATACTGCCATTGGAGTGGGAGGCACTTTAGGGGCATCACCCAGTGCAGACACCACTACCTTCCCCTTATTTGCCCCCTTAAGGGACTTAGAGGAGCCCTTCTTTGTGGACTTGTGCTCCTTACTTGGTTTGGCCTTCTTTTTCACCGGCGTGGAAGCGGAGGATTGCACCTTCGAGGCTGGTGGTTTCGACTTCGGTTGAGCGATATCGGAAGAAGACTTCGGTTGAGCGATAGCGGAAGAGGGCCTCAATGCTGGAGCTGTCGAAGGCCTCTCGGACTCCATCATTGTGGGAAGATGCAACGCCGACTCAAGAAGCACCACTTTAAGGCGCGCAGCTCTATTTTTTCATGTCTGGTTGGAAAAGCGAGCGCAGTGGAGACAGGACAGGTCGATGAGACTCTCCCAGACAAAAAATACACAGGGTGTGATGGTCAGGTGGAGCAAGTTTACTGCTGCACCTCTTGCACCGGTTGAAAAAGCCCCACTTCTTCTCCATAAAAATAAACAGTGAAGAAGAAAGAAAGGGTGGGGGGTGGGGTAGCCCGAAGGCCACACTGAGGTAAACCGGCAACTTCCCCCTCAGTTGAAAATAAAGTTTTTGGTTTTTTTAAAAAGTTTTTTAATGAACAAACAAAGAAACACTGAAGAAAAAAGGATAATGTGAGGAAAAATCCGAAGAGCCGTGAGGCAAAAGCCCAAAAAGTGAACTGATAAGACCGACGAGAAAGAGGTCTTTCCAACGCGGCGGTAAGAAAGGAACTGGCGGGATGTCCGTGCCCTCCCCTCTGGGCATGCGCGGTGGGGTTCTTGCGCATGCCCGAGGTCTGGGTGCAAAAATCCGTTAAAGAGCTTGCTACAATGCCAATCAATCCAGCGCGTGCGCACTAGATCCCATGGGTGTGAAGCACAGAGACCACGTCGAAGATCAGTTTGGTCACTCAAAGCTTGGGGGGCACACCAGTGGGAGGAGAGCATGTGTATGTCAGGAGACAGATTAACCTGCTGTCTGATCCTTACCCCAAGGCCTCCAGACAGGATTCATTCCCCCTTCACCCTTGACATGGTTTTAAATCTAATCTGTAACAAATTAAGATTGCAGAGTGCCATGCTGCATGAATGGACGAGCAGACAGACCTGGCATCTTTGAATGAAACCTTGATGGATGACTCTAGTAATCTGGTATTATAGCAGGTTTAAAAAAACCTCTCACAGGAAGTTGACCAAACTTTCCTTGAGACTGCTTGTTTCACTAGAGGTGGTGAAGGAAATGGCCACGCAGCCAAAGATACCCATTGTCCCATCCTTTTCTTTGCTGCCATGTCCTCTCCCCATTTTTCTTCATTATGTATGTTAGGTCTTAAGATTGTTTTTGTTGCAGACAGTTGCATTGTTTTCCAGTTTGGGACTCCTAGTCTTACTGCATTGTACATTGGAGGCCTTTGCTGTCTGATTGTTTTTCATATTTTGTTTTTCATATTTTGTAATCTGCATTGAGTTTCAGTAAGAAAGCTAGGCTACACAGGAAAATAACAATAATAAATAGGGGAGGAATGAAGTGTGGGAGCCCTGCTTGTTAACAGTGATTAAAGAGAGGTTTCCATTCAGAGAAAAGATAAAAGCCACTGTTAAACAAGTATGTGAAGAAAAAGTGGTCAGTAGAAAAACTAAAACTACACTTTAGAGAAAATGAACACACTCACAGGAGACACAAAACACACATGAAGATTGAAACACCATTGTAAATTCACCTTCTGCTAGGATCATTATTTTAAAAAGCTAATGTGGGCACATTTAAAACTGCAGTGCTGCCTTTCACATGAGCACAATGATAGCAAGAGACTCTAAATAAAAAATCTGCCTCTGAGGAAGTAATTTGACTAGCATGTATTGAACCAAATTGTTGTGAACACTCTGAGCCCCACACCAGCAGGGAAGGGTGGTAAAATATATATATATATATAATTTAATAAATAAATGTCTGAAAACAGCATGCCTGAGTAATAGAGTTCCTATAAAAATGCATAGCCAGCTTGGCACTTCGAACAAATTCTTCCTTCTATAGAAAGCAGGGAAACAGGACCATGTTTATCTCATGTTCTCCCTGCATTCAAGACTATTATCCTTAACTACTGGATATGACCCATATTTCTGGATATTCTTATTGGTACTTACATACCTATAGAGGAGTGCTTTTGGATGATGTCCTTATGCAGAAGTTTCCAAGGCTGAAGAGCTAGTTAAGCATAATAAACTGTACCTACACTACAGTGATGGCCTGACAACTGAGTCATATGAATAAACTCTGAACATGGTGGCCTCAGGCACTGTTGGTTTATGGATCATATGCTTACATTCTATAATAAGAACAGAAAACAAAAACATACTGCAGGCTACTTACACTGCATGGCCAGTACCCCTTACAACAGGAGGTATTTACATGCAAGTGACGTCCACAGCACATATGAATGAACAGCATCTCCTTTCTCTCCCTTACACACCGTATACATGACTGCATACAATTTATACCATGTAATCAGATGCAGTTCCAGCAGGCTTTCCATTGTCACTTTCTTCCCCACTCCCAATGCACACATCAGACACTATCTGAAGTAAATCCATCACACCTTTGGACTTCCAGCTTCATTTTCCCCAAGCATGATCCTCATATTAGTTACTAGATACGTCTGTACATTTAATGCTTCCGCACAGTGGCAAGACCTGGTTTTCAAAGCAATGACAAAACCAAAATAATTTTAGTGCATGGAAGTAGAAACAATCAAAAGCCATTTGATCAGGAGCAATGAATGAATGTATGTACAAGCTGCAAGAACAGCAACACCACAGCTATTGTGTGGCTGAGACCTGGAGTAGCAAAATGTTTAATTGGAAGTTCTATCCACTCTTGAGCCAGTTTAGTCCCCTTTGCTTACACTTCATAGCAGTCATCTGGATCTATCAAAATTGTTTGTATGAAAGACACAAGAGCCATCTTAGAGTTCTTACTGTAGAGAATACAGACACACAAACCACATGGAGAGGGTTTAAAGTGCACACTTTTATTTTCTATTACAAAGGCTAAAAGAAGCAAATCTGTCTTATTAAGAACAAGAAAGTTGTTAGAACATCTACATTATTACCTTGGATTCTAGACCTTGTGAAGGTACTATTAAATTCTTTGTAATAGTAAAGCGTGGTATTCTTAAAATATATTAATACAAAGACATTTTTGAAGGACTCTCCAACTTATTACAAGTCCAGCTTAGAAATAAAGCATCCCTCGTTGCTGGCTTTCTTCTGTATGCTTCAGTCGCCAAATTTCTTAAGGATGGCCTGGCTAACCAGCATCTCATTTGCATATATCCTTTCCTGGACTCTAAAGGCCTGGGAAAGGAGTCTGGCTTGCTTCTTTCCAGCATCTTATATGATGATTGAATTAATAACTTTCTTTCAGGTAAAGAAAGGGACATTGCCAAGACTGGTGTTTTTTTTGGAACATAGCTGCAGTATTAAAAAACAGAACAGTGACCCAATTTTGTTATTATTCTCAGATGTGTGTGCTTCCTGAAAACCTTTCTGTTATTGGTTTCATTCAGTTGCTCCGCAGTACTGGGGTTTTCTCAGCAATTACTGCAGAAGTGATAGTACCATGGATGCAGCAAGATGGAGTGGCAAAATGAAATAAGCTTATCTATCCCATGCAGACTTGGGTGGGGGGAGAGAAATCAGGAAGACAAAATGGAGCTTCCTGACCTTAGCAATGCCTCTTTCCCCCGCAATAAATTAAATAAAAGACTCTCTTCTAACAAACTCCTTATTAATTAGACTTCACCTACGGATTCAGGTTGACAGGCCTTTATGAAGAGTAAGTTCATTCTGATCAGAATAATGATCACCTCCTCAATGATCAAAAAAAACCCTAGTAGAAATATTCTTCCCTTCCCAACATCAGCTTTATATCAATGAGAGATGCTGTGTTCCCCAGCTAGAGTCCTTTTCCTTAACCCTCAACAAAAGATGCCTTCAATACCACATACATATATAATATTATATAGAGTGATATATTTAATACCTGTGTATATATGCTTTATGGAAGAGTTACATATATACACACTAAAACAAGTCTGGTGACAAGATACTGCAACACCACATATCAGGTTATCATACCAGGAAAAAAACCCCAAAAGTTGATTCTCATTGCAATGCCCCAGAATACGTGCTCCCCACCCACTGCCCTGCCTCCATTAAACCACATCCATTTCTCCCTGCATCAAATCGTATTGACCAGGGTAAGACGGGTCACAAAGCAGTTTTGAATTAAAGAGGAAAGGAAACACTGCCCACCCCATAATCTAAAATAAATTCACATATCATAAAGTAATGGCAGAGCATATACAGTTACATATCTAGATACAGATAGTTTAAGAATTTAAACATCCATTTCTTATATATGTTTTTCCAAACAGCTCAACCCCAAAAGCTAATGTCAGTCACTCTTGTTGATACTTTCCGAAGTAAGACCAACAGGTTGAAGGCATAATGGTTAAAGCAGGCAACAGGCAACTACTTGAAACGTCTGGTGTATAGGGAAGGGGATAATTTGGCTCATTTCACTGCAGTTGGATTCCTGTGGCTTTGCTTACTCTAATGTCGTATTAATTAACATTATTAAAATAGTAAGACAGGAGACAAGTACACACTCCCTTTTTATCAAAGCAAGGACAATGGAAAGCACCTAACATGATCTAAAAGGTCTCGTTTCAAATTCCAAAACAATCAACTCAACAGGATGGATATATGGTGCCTGCTTACATCAACGCAGCTCCCAAATGAAGTGTATGTGTGGATTCCACTGAATGGCAATATTCAGGGTATATTCCGCGACATAGTAAAAAAACAAAAAACACCCCTTTCCTCTCCTTAGAAGATTGTGAAGAAGCAGAGGAACACAATTTTTAATATCACAGAAATAAACCAAGGTAGCCATGTTTATACATGGAACCTCAGACTGATTTTATGATCTACAAAAGTTACGGTGCAAGGGTCAGGCATTTCCCGACACAAGCAGGACAGCGACAGGGCATCTGATCATCAGTGAAAAGCAGACGGGATGAAATACAAAAGGGAGCTTTCAGAAAGTCCTGACCCACTGACTTCCCCCCTCCCCTACTCATTCTATTTCCTATCTTCTCCACAATTATTTGGGTCTCTCCATATGAAGGAGTGGTGGTAGCCCATTTTATACTTTCATATCAACTCATCAGTGGAAGGGGGATACAAATAACTAAAATATCAATACATCTCAGTTGGAGAGATACGAAAAATGAATAGTATCTAACCAATACTGCAGATCCCTGAAAGATCTTTGAATGAAATCTCACCACTTAAATCCTACAGTGTCATACTTCGGCTTGCAGAACATAAATTTTATCTTAGCTGTTCTGTGGATGAAGCATTTACACTATACATAAATGCATCCCTTCCTAGAACTCGAGGAGGATCACACTAGCTCAGCTAGTCATGATGCTTAACAGAAACACTGAGCCTTTTAGCTTGCTAATGCATCTTCATTCAGAATGCGCTTCTTTTGGATCATCTACTCCCTTACCCACACTACACGTTGTCACCACTCAAAGAAGTGCCATGATGCTAGAACGACAAAGTTTTGCTTCCTACCATCCCTCACAGAATGATCACTCCACCAAAGGTTCCTATCACTTTGATTTTTTCAGACTTTACAGCCGAATCTTGAACAACTGGAAGTCCCATTGAGTTCATGGGGACTTCCTTCTTTGTAGGGATGCTTTTCATTATGGCTTCTGAATGTTCACTTCAGAGTCATATTAAATACCACTGATACATAAAAGGTCTTATTATCTTCCAGTCTGAGAAAGGGGACAGAAAGTTGATGTTCTTGTTAGTGGCTATTTTTAGGTATTAGATTGTTAGTTTTGCAAACATCACAGTTAAGTCATTTTTCTTCCCTTCCTTGAAATTTCTATTAAATTATACTAACTTTTAAGTTAGTTTTCTTTTCAGGAAACATTGTTTTTCTGTTATTTGTTGGTTTGGTTCTACTCCTTGTTCAGTTCTACTTTTGATTTCAAATGAGGTTACATTTCTCATAATCTGGTGCTGGGTTATTATGTGACAAAATAAAGTTCCAGGCCTTGTTACCCTTAGCACTGGATTTAATCAAATGCTGTTTTCTCAGGGGCAAATCTTCTAGCCTAAACTTCTGCATGGTAATTTTAAATCCCTTTAAATGATTTCTGCCCATTTCCACTATCAACATGTTTGGGCTTGGGCACACAAATTGTGTCCAAGTAATCAAGTGCATACTTTTACGCACAGAGGGCATCATTGAAGGTGGAAGGCACAGACCTTTCATAATGACTGAACAGCCCCCCCCCCAAGGCTCCAAGCCCCTATCATTCACTTTTCTTAAGCCAAGTTTGTGCACCCTAGCATAATGGTAAGAGCATCTTGATTTTAAGTGGCTTCTTCTTTGTGTTTGTGTCATAGGGAGAGATCTCCCAAGCTATGCTTAAACCAAACAATAACCTGCTTTAATTCAACAAACCATTATTGATTTACTTTTTGCATAATATACAGTATGTAATTTGGAAAAAAACTCAACCACTGCCTCTGCCAAATACAACACACTAGCTACACAAAGGCCAGGATAGGAATCCAGTATCCTCCCTCACTTGATAGGGAATGGACAACATTGATGCTGGAAGAGAAGGAGAATTTCTCTCACTGTAATCTACGGACTACCAGAGTCATTTTCAAAGTTTGAAAACCACACTGATTTATAAGACCTCATTGGTATTTTAACTGTTTTTTTCTTTTCAGAAACTATTTACACAGCGATTGGGTGCCTGTGAAGATGAGGGACACCCCTCCCCCAAATAAAATCCCACTTCCTCTTCAATTGTCCAGTGGTTCTTCTATGCTTGTTTCCATGACACTGCAATATCCCAACAAAACTAGGCAGTCCATAGTAAGGATTCAGGATGGAGAGATTCAGAATGAAAAATCTCTCCCCCACCCTCTTCCTCTCATATACATCACTGCAAACAATATTTTTAAGGAGGGGAAAAATAAAGAGACTAGTGGTGGCAGATGGGGGGGGGGAATTAAAAGGAAAAATGTAGAAAACAACAACATTCTAAGAGCATGATGCTCACTGGCTATAGATGAATCAATTTATAATTCCATGGAACCCACGAAATTGTCTTGATTATTTTACAACAGAAGTAAGGTTCTTGTGGAACAGTTGTTAGCCTCTCTGTCACTGCCCTGCTCCCTCCCTCCTCAGCTCTGTAAATCTGCCTGTTCTTCCTCCCCCAGTGGTTATATGCTATCCCGCAACAGAAAGTTGTATTTGCCAAAGTCGTCATCTCTGGGGCACAGCAGCATATCCTTGCGGGCTTTGGCCAGCTTCTGCTTCATTACTTCCCTCCGGTCCAGCCACTCTGTCAACTCATCCTGGCCATGAGCAAAGCGACATTTCTCCCCTTCAGGGCAGGATTTTGTCTTCTGGAATCTGCCAGGAGGACAACACATGGCTTAAAAGGACTACAGATTAAACAATCTCTTTCTGCTATCTGTTCAATTCTGCTGCATTTGGAGACAGAGAACTATAAACTCAGAATGCTTAGGGATTTTTCACTAGATGCCAGGGCAAGGGGAAAAACAGATTTCTTTTTAGTACAACAACCCAGGCCGTTTATCAGTACATAATAGCTTCAGACATGGAACAGCAATATGCAGCCAATGATGCAACTGATTCTAAACTAACAACCTGAAAATAACCAATCCCAATTTTTAATTAAAGTTTAAAATGACACAAAATACAATTTATCAGAACTCTTCTTTATGCTTGATGTTCAAACAAGCAAGCGGTGGAAGGGAGAGAAAGAGATGTTGTTGGGCAAAATGGAAAAGCCTCTAACAGTGCAATTCTAAGCAGGAGAATTATACCTTTCTAAGTCCAGTGAAGTCAATGGTTAGTTCATGGAAGGGAGCAACTCTGCTCAGGATCACACTGGCAGTCTACAAGTCTTTCATAGTCTTCGAATGGACTAGAGGAGGCTTATACTGATCCTGATGCAAAAAGATCTCAGGCAGCAGCAAAGGGGCAGCGGCTACCTACCCTTCCTTGGAAAACGTTAGTACCTGCAAATAACTGTTGCTGTTTGGCTTTCTTTTCCTAATAGACCATCATGGGATCCTCCATTTTTTAATTTCAGTAATACTACCTGAAGATTTTGAGACATGCAGAAGTGCTAGACCTTAACGAATGCACTGTAGTATCTTCAGGGGTCGTTTCGTAGAAAAAGAGCTAGGGGAACTCATTAGCATAACTCATTAGCATATGCCACACCCCCTGACAGCACCGGAAGTGTGTCATAAGGCCACACCCCCTGACATCTCCAGAAGTGTGTCATAAGGCCACACACCCCGTCCTGGCTGCCGCCGCCGGCTTTGCAGCTCCACTGCCGAGCCCCATGAGGGGCCCGGCGGTGGACCTGCAAGGCCGGCGGGAGTGCTAGGAAGCCCCGCGAAGGCCCTCCCTGGCCCCAGGCAGGCAGGGGTGGGGAGAGGCAGGGAGGAAGCAACTTACCCTCCCTCTTCTCCTGCCTCCTCCTGGCTGAATGAGGGCCGGAAGCGGGGCGGCCGGAAGCAGGGGGCGGGGCTTCGTCATGTGCCCCGCCCCCCGTACCTCACCCGGGGGAACTGCGATCCCCCGCGATCCCCCCGAAATGACCTCTGAGTATCTTAAGGTGGATACAAGTGATAAAAGACTTCTGTCCTTCCATAACAGATCTCCCTGAAGAGTAATGCCTTTCAAAAGCACTTTGTTCTTCCAAGAGAATTACAGAAACAAAAGACATTTTCACGGATGGCTGGGGTTCCCCTCGTACTTCCCATCTAAGGATGCTTCTGGACACTGCCTCCAGTAGTGAGAGGAAAAACACCTCCTAAAAGGACAGACTAAGCAGCACATGGGTTGCTGCTGGTGCCAAACATACCAAACCTACTAGAAATCAGCACTGGGGGTGGGATCACCACGCATGAACTGCCTAGTGCCTTAATTCAGCACATCTAACATCCGTAAAACCCCTTTTCTAGGAAACACCTTAAGGTCACCTAAAGAGATTCTGCTTTTGGTTTGTACTTTCACTTTTATTATTTTAGTGACGTGAAAGGTTGAACACAAGGGCACTGGAATCAAGAACTCTGTCTTAGTGATTACCACCAATAACTGTTTTAGGGCTTTAAACTTTCCTCCTACTCCAAACATCCCATTAAATCTGGAGCTACCTAGCTTGACCACATCTCAAGTACTCCTTTCTCATCCGTAACCACCACGAGAAAGGGAGAGCTTTGCGTGCTGCTGTACCTTTCACAAAGCCGGAACTCGCCCATGGGGAAGCGGTAGTTCCAGCAGCTGGAGTCACTGTCAGATGTGAAGACTTTCTCCTTATGCTTTTCTGACTGGATGTGCTGCTGCCATTGCTTCTTGCTGTTGCTGTTCTTCCCACAGAGCCAGCAGTGGTAACCCATCTGGCAGTCAGAGAACAACATGTGGCCATTTCTGTTACTTCACCTGGCTCCACTGTCCCAACTTCTCTTAAAGATAAATTAGAAAAGCTTTTCCCTCCTAATGCTTACATAAAAATTTACTGTAATGTCCTATTTGTTTCGACTCGCGTTTATAACCAACCTCTTTTACGGCCCCATTTTCCAAAATGACTGACAGTGAGTTTGGCTCTTTGGGAAGGACAAGAGCCTAAAGGGATAAGGCTGAACGGGAAAAAGGACACGTACACTTGCTTGGAGTCCATCTGCATCCAGCTCTTCAAGACAGCATACTTTCCCATTCCCTCACAGAGCAACATAATCAGGATCTATGTTCTTACTTTATAATCAGAGTCACATATGGCCTGTTGGAAAGGCCCAACATGGTTTCCAACAGCAACTTGACTCTCAAACATTGCCCCACACAGCTCAGCTCAACTCCTGTAGAACAAGAGCTGAAATGAATGTGGGACGACCTCCCTCCACGTGAGCCTCTCAGAAGGTAACTGAAGAAAACATCACCTTGGAGGGGAAAGCGTCATCTGAAAGCAAGGAAGGCTCCATGCACCCTGAACAACAGAACTGGCCTAGCCTCATAACATATCCTTAGGACTGCTTCATACATTTGTGTTTCTTGCTACAGAGAAACCACTTCTGCATAAGAAATAACATAATTCATAATGTGAGCCAGCTTAGTGCAGTGGGTCTGGGATTAGGCGGGAGAGATCCAGGTTCAAATCTTTGCTTAGTCATGAACTTCACTGGTGACCTCTGGTCAGTTATTACCCCCTCAGTCTCACAGGGATGGGAGAACTATATAAGATGCCCTGCATGCCTTAGATTAGAGGAAGGGTGGGGTAAATAATATGAAAGATAGCTAAGACATGTGTGCATATGTGCTGGGAAATCAGCCATTTAGGACTTCTCAGCCAAATATAAGAAGTGAAACCCCCATCTCACTCCAAAGAGAGTGTTATAGGTTTTCCTGAAAGGCCAGGGATGAGAAAACAGGAAAGAGGAAGAAGAATCAGGAGAGAGAGAGATGGTACCATGTCAGCATAGTCAGTGGGCATCTGAATTTGCTTCTCTCCTTCCCTTGATGTTAGCGGTGTCCCCTCATCCGGTTTCCCAGGGTTGTGTTTTTTCAGCCACATGTCATAGGTCTGCTGCATATCCAAAACTGCAAGAAATAACAAGTTTGATTAATCAGAGAGTGTCCTTCCCATCACTCTAAAACCACTACCCCTCTAAAGGAGAAAGCTTTGCAGAAACTCTGCTCCCCGTTGAAAAAAGTGTTTAGCAGTCCTGGACTATGTGCAGGTTTGCCTAACAGGAGAAGGTATTTCTCCTCCATCCCTATCAGGTTTTTGTTTCAGACAGGCTTTTAAAAACATCTGTTTCGAGTGCCCAGCACGTTCACTCAGTCAAATGTTTGTTTTTAAAAAGTCAACTTAAATTAAAAAAAAAAAACCTGAAACAATGCTCTGAGAAGTAAGGAAGGGGGAGGATAATGGTTTCGTGACTGCCAATAAGCATTAGGTTGGAAATGGGAACAAAAGTTGTTCCCAAGCTCAACTCTGCTTTGTAGTTTGCACATCTGGCCAACAGGAGTTCAGTGCAGATCCACAGAAGGCTCACCACCAGAGGTATGCATGGCTGTATGCAGCTTTTGCTAGTCTTGCGGTCAATTTCCCATCAAGTACACTAGGATTCAAATGGCCAGAGGATAACTCAAGAGTTCTGAATGACAAAAATAGGCATTTTCACCCAACCATGAAGAAAAGCCAGATAGACGAGTTAGAAGAGGCCATCACTCTGTTCCTTTCAGGTCCCCATCTCTGATGCCACCGATCACACTTTGCCTGCCCAACCTCCTTACTTTTGGCAATGGGTAAAATGGATGTCTGCCTTTCTAAACCAGGCTGGCAATTCAAGAGAAGCTGAATTTTAAAGAACTGCCCAACAGTGTTTCAGTCATGCACATGGTCATGTGATGCTCAGCATGGATTATCAGGATGATATAACAGGAGGTCTGTGTTTGATGCCTTGGACTGGAACAGCTGGATCAGATCACATGGAAGCCAGGTGCGAGATGCAAGTGAAGCCTGGGCACAGCACAGGGAGCAAGGTGGTGTTTCACTGGCAGAAAAGCAGACAGATGCATGTCTGCATAAGATTTGGGCCACAGTGTCACAGCCCATGCTAGCTCCACATCACAGCTAATTTCCTACAAACCCCCAGTTGTAAATTTGAAGCCAGCCTCATAAACATTACACTTCCACTGACTCCCTGTCCCCTGAGTGATTTCCACCACCCCCTTCCCAGAATTAACCATGCTCTCACATTACGCAGGCACTGACACAAACCATAACTAATGCAGACCAGGTTCCTTTGGAATCCTCATTCGACTCACAGTTTTTCTTTCTGACTGAAGAGGGATATATCCCTGGCATGCAGTGGTCCACATGTGAAGGAGGCTTTTGAAGGGGAGCAGGATCTTCAGCACAGACTTTGGAAACTGACTCTCAGTTTGCAACCTGTGGTATGCAGGGGGCTACCGTTATGTCTCCAAGGGGCCTCCTCCAGTTTCCCCTGCTCCTCTCACTCACTTTTATTTTCTTTCATGAAGGTCCACATGTCTCTCTCCTCAGGACTGTGAGCAAAGGAGCAGTTTCCAACATACTGGCACTTCCTGCCATTTTGGGCATGGATACATAGCTGTAAAGAGACAGAAAGCACATCACAAACTTCAACACCCCCCGCCCCGCCCCTCTGCACTAGTGAGGAATGAGGGGGGGAAAGGCCATATCAACCAAATTAATTCATGCTTTTAATTAGGAGCAAACAGAAAATTGCATACAGTGGCACTTCAGCAGCTGCAGCTTCCAGATTTATCCCTTCAGTCTGACGGATGATGGTGCCCTTGAGGAGCTTTGAGACTCTTTAAGAGACCGAACAGTGGCCTTCCCCAGAATATTTTCAGAATATATTTGTGTTCTGCCTCTTCCTCTCTTCTACCTCCAAACACCTCCTATAGGAATTCTTCCATGTGCTCTCAGATGAGACACTGCTCCAAACACATTGTTTATCCACTGTTATACTTACTTACTTCATGGTTCTCCTCTCCTCCATTTTACTGTCACAACAACCCTGTGAAGTAGGTTAGGCTAATGTGTGTGACTGGCCCAAGGTCCCCCCAGCAAGCTTCCACAGCAGAGTGGGGATTCAAACCTGGATCTCCCAAATCCTAGTCCTACACTAAAATCAGTAACCACACTATGAGATAAAGTGCAGGGCCTTTTCAACAGTGGCCCCCTCCTCATGGAATTCTCTCCCCAAGAAGCTCAACAAGGCATCTCTATTTTTAATTTGAAGAAACAAGTAGGAATCGAAGCTGAGATCTAGTAATGTCATTCAGCGCTGACATGCTGTGTCTAATGTTTGAAATATTTTAATTTTATTTTTGTTAAGGTGTTAAATGTGGTTTTTGTTGTAAGCCATCTTGAGGTTTGTTGTAAGCCATCTCAAGGGTTCTTTGGAGCCATATGACAAGAATTAAATCTCAAAATCAAACTGAATAACAATGCACTGGAGGCTCACAAAGGTTATTTAGCTGCCACTGCAGTAGATAAGAAGGTTTCTACGCAGACTGCTGTGAAATTATTCCTGTAATTTCTGCTGTTCCTGTACTTTCTAGCAAATTCTCAAGCTTCTTGAGATTAGTGGCTGTGGCATTTCCAGGTAAAGGCTTTTTGGACATCAGGCACATCGGATCCATGCAAGCTACACAGGAAGAACTGTGCCAGAGGGTTGTGCAGGCACTAGCAGGACCAGTGGGAATGGCGTAGTCCAAAACAGCAGCTATTATACAGAACTCTACATAAATTGCTGCCTGTGTTTCTCAACCCATTTTCTCCTTTATCTCCAGTTTAACACTGCAGCACTAAACCAGACAGCTAAACAGGATCTTTCCCTTTTCCTAATTTCTGAGCACATTTCCCGTTCCAAGGGGAAACAGACTGATCTGGTCCTTCAGTTTTCTATCTCCAAGCCCTTGCACATGCTGCTAAAATGCCCAAGGCTTTCTTCTCCCTCTCAGGAATTGCAGAGAATTCCAGCATGCATAGCTCATTCACATTTTAACCCATCCATTTCCCAAGGTCAAGCATACATGGTTCTTTCATTTTATTTCCACAACAACCCTGTGAGGCAGAGACAGAGACCTTCATGGATGAGTGGGGACCTGAATGTCCCCCACCCTAGTCTAATGCTGTGAGCACTGCTCCTCTGTCTCTCTGGTTATATCAAGATCTGGCTCAGTAAACTGAGAATGCCTCACACGGCTCCAGTCTGCTGCTTTTCACACAACAGAGAAAAAGCAGGTCCTGGACCCAGACCCACCTGTTGACCTAGCTGCCTTCTGCCTCAGCAAGAAATTATTCTGAGCCAGATCCCTTCTCTCAGGCTGGAAGTGGAGACCAACCTATGTCCAGTTCCTTCCATTTTATAAGTGGCTTAGATTTTGCAAAGCCAGCTTTGGCTTAGCTGATGGCTTGAATCCAGCCTCACACGGCAGTGACCCCAGTTTACTACTAGAGGAGAGATGGGGCCTCCAGCTTCATTGCAGCTTCAAGCCCGTTCCCATGGTGGACTGGCACATACCCTCAAGATCCCAAGACCAAGAAGGCATTCCACGCATGTGCTGCCCCAAGTCCCCACAAGAGGACATCTAAAGAAGGCACTTCTACGAATGACCATAAGGACATCAGGCTGTCCAAAAAAAAAGTTCCCTAAGCTGCTTATCATTTTGACAGTGGAAAGAAAGTAATATTGTATATGGCACTCAAGGAAAAACCCTAGAAGGTCAGACCTGGTAAAAGGCTTCAAGATCCAAACTTCGTAACACGGGCACTCCTAACACATTTAAGAACTCCCTCAATTAACTCCCATAATTCATTAGCAATAAAGGTCAGCATCTGGGAGGCAGGCATTAATATAGACAGGATGCAAGAGAAGCATTAAAGAGACACTTCTCTTGTCAAGACACAATGTTGCCCCTTTCACAGTCCCTCTTCAACCCTCCTTGCATTCTAAAATCTTGGAATCTAAGAACTGAAGAGGTTTTGTTTTTAAAGGCCACACCCTGAGGCTGCATCTCAATTGCCCATCTACAGCTGAAATAATTCATGTGTAATAGGAGAAGACTCTCCAAAGCAACCTCTCCCCCCTACCCTTACTCACTCACACAGGCAAACAGAAGATGTTGGCTTTGGGCTCAAAGGAAGCAGGCAGACATTCAGATTAGAAACAGATTTAATGAACGCTTCCCAAAACACTGGCCATCCTCTCAATAGTCAACAAAAAGACACAGCAGGGAAACGCTCCACCTCCTTGTAGCAACAGTGGGCGAAAAACAATATTTGCCTTCACTGCAGTACATGAAATCTGCTCTTTACAAAACATGCTGCAATAAAGCTTCTCCAAAAGAAGCTTTTGACCCATGGGGAGTGTAGGAAACCTGAAGCATGAATGTGTATAGATGTGTGTGAAGATGCGCGTGCTCACACACATACATCATTGGCTCGTTGTTCATGCTTAAGTCCTCTCCCTCTTCCCTCAGGAAATGAGATAACTAAAAAGGGTGTATCGTTCTTTTTCTTCTCTGAATGAAAAGCTGTTTTAAATACATCCTTCAATTTTTTTCTAAAATTGCTGGAAGCATCAGAAACCTGAAGCGTCATTATACTGAATCAGACTCTTGGTCCCTCTAGGTCAGTCTTGTCACTCAGACTGGCAGCGGCTCTCCAGGGTCTCAGGCGGAGGTCTTTCACATCACCAGTTGCCTGGTCCTTTTAACTGGAGGTGCTGAGGATTGAACTAGGGAGCTTCTGCATGCAAAGCAGGTGGTCTTCCACTGAGTCACAGCCCCTCAGATTTGCAGGCCTGCTGCATCTCTTTTGGAGGTAAATAAACTTTGGAGTATCACAAGCTTCTCTCTACCTCCTGCCCAAATTACATGAGAGACTGATTCAGGTGAAATGCTACAGCTGATTCCCATATTTACAGCCAGCAAGTTTTTCACACAACTGAGGCATTAATCAAAGACCAATCTGCACCAGCAATTTCAGTATGCAACAAGTCATCTCAATATTGTGCAACTAACTAATCTTGGTTTACAGCTAGTTTCTCTTCTCCCTCTAAAACCTCAGTTTATTTAATTAATTTATACCCCACCTTTCTCCCCAAAGCAGCTTACATTAGTCTCCTCTCCCCATGTTATCACTATGCTGTTGACAGACTACCACCTACTTCACCACAGCCTTCTTGCTGCTCAGGTATAAAAGGCAAGGTCAGCACAATCCAAAACCAAACTACCTACATCATACTGCTGTGGGAAATTGCGGATAGAAGGCAGCGGTCGGACAGACACCCACTTCTTCTTTGCTTTGGACATCACTAGCAGGACGCGGCGTTCCTTGGTCCAACTGCATGATGGGGAGGAAACATATCATAAAGAATGGATGGGGAAGACATGATGAAAAGAGTCTGTCAATTACAAAGGAGCACGTATAGTCAGTTAATTAATTTTAGCAGAGTCCGGCTTTCACAACTACTAACAAGAGTTTTGAGTCAGGAACTCAAGAGTTCTGCATGGGAAAAACACTTCTACCATCAGTGTAAGCTATACAAAGTTGCAGAAGGACATAAGAAAAAAGTCTTATTCAGGCAGACCAACTATCTGTCTAGCCCTGCATCTTCAAAAGCAGCCAGGTCCATATGCATTACGACAATAATCCCCCAACAGTATGCATATTATATCAGCTTGCCATGAAAGGGACTGAAGAGTGCCTTGGAAAAGTAAGATTTAGGATGGATGCACCCCTTCCATCTGTGGTCCTCAGAGCAAAGAGGTCATGTGCTGCTCTGATCCCTGCCGATATATGAACAGTGACTTCCTACTGAAAACAGAGGGAGAGAGGGAGGGAGGGAGGGAGGGGGGGAGGACGTTCCAGGATTCCCTAATGAAGCCTGTATGCCAGTGGCAAGCGTGGGGGAATCCCCAAGGCATAATCATTGCTCAGAAAGCACAGCAGGCCAAGTGGGCAAAGGAGAGGGCAGGATCTGGGGCGACAACATTAGCTGAGATGTCTTTTCATTGCTCTGGAAGCTGCTTGGGTGGGGGATTTATACATATTACACATTTATATATATCTTTTGGAATGTAAACAGGGCTGCAATCTTAATCCAGGGGAGAAAAAAGAAAACCTGTGCCCCAGTAACCGTAGCTTGTGGAACACTGCATTAGAAGGAGACTGGCACAGCCTCTGCCTGTCATTTGTGGATTCCCTCACTCTCATCTTTTCACCCAGGGTCCTCCTAATATGCCTGGCACCGCCTCCACCAACAGTAACCCATACTGGTACAATCCACTAAAACTGAACTCCCAACAGTTATTTTAATACCGAGTACTACGTAACAGATGGTAAAATAGGTAAGGGTGCCTACCAGTGGCGTGCTTTGGCACTACAGTACTTGAGATCCTTGTCTGGTTCCACCACCTGCCCATTTCTCCAACACTGGCCACAAACAAATTTCATCTGGAGGTCAAATGTGTTTGATGTGGGAGTCCTGGTAGAAGCCTGACATTGGGAAGAGTGGAGAAACAAAGACACTGAGAATGAATTGAGAATGCATGCCAAGATCGGGAGAGCTAGGTTTACTAAGACAATACATCCTCCTCCACAGGTATACTATTTTATGAGGACAGCAGAATAATAACGTGTAACAAATGCATACAACGGAGTAAGAGTGGACAGCGATAATGCTTGTTGCCAGTTTCCAGGCTGACATTACCATTCTACCCAAGTACAAAGAAGCAGGTAATCACATCTACGAGAGGTTAAAAAGAAAGCTCCACTATAACATACGTGCTAACTATACGGATTCTGCTTCACACTGAGCAACTGATGAAATATCTGCTTCCATTTCCTAGGACAACTGGATGTGTTAAACAAGGAGAGGTTGAAATGACAGGACATAAGCTGCAAAGCAAAAGCAGTCTTTGTGATTCTACTACTCAACTTACCATTGTGCCATTACAAGTGATAAAAGGATCTCAATTTCATTTGCTGCTGCTCCAGCAAGACATTTAAGCCACATCTATGATCCTTGGCATGGCATACCTTGGGTCCATTCAATCTATTATGCCACTGTACCCAACACCACAGTTGTCTAATGAAGACAGAAAACCTAATACAAAATGCCTCTTTTGAGGGTAATGTTTTCTTGGATCCCAGCCTTACACTTCTATGCACTCATGTACAGAGTCACAAGAAAGCACGTGAATATGTGGGAGCAACAAAGTGGATCTGAGTAAACAAGTCCCAAGAGGAAAGTAAGAGAGATCCAAACCTGGAGATCGTCTCTCTCAAACCAATCACTTCACCATGGATTTATTTATACTCCAGTACAGCTTAACTCTGTACTACACTTGCCATTTGAGGAAATGGCATGCTCTTTGATCTGGGTAGAAACTCACTGTATTGACCACAGTACTGTTTTTTTGCCTGAAATAACCTATGGTCTGAGCAGATGAAGGAAAAGAGCCTAATTATTCCAATACTCTTTGTGTGAACACTGAACTTGTGAAAGGGAAGAAAAATCAAGAGTATGAGCCACATTGGTATTTCTAGGAACACAAACTTGGAGGGGAAATGAAGATCAGAAAAAGCAAACAATTATGGGCTAAACAGGATGTGATTCTGGGAGTTCCACAAATAGAAGCTCTCCCCCCCCCCCCCATTTTAAAGAGCAGGCACAGAGCCCAATTCAAACTGTGTGAAACAAGGTGTGGGGGGGAAGTCATGCCACACAGCTTCTTAAGGCACTGGTAGTGGGCAAAGCAGGGGAGACTCCGTGGTCAGAGTACCAGACTGGGGTTTTAAACAAAGAACAAAGATTTTATCGACTATTTACAAGTAACAGGATTTTACACACAAAAAGGCATTTTAAATCAAACACAGAAAGGAAAACACCACCGGGCACAAATAAAGTAAGACAAAACACAGTTCCTCTGTCCTTGAACTGATCCCTATACTTATTTTCCCTCGGGATGAGGTTCAGTTACCAACCTGCAGCCTGGCCTCCTGCCTTCTACAGGTAGTTCTGGATCCCTCCGAGGATCCCTTCCCACTGCTGCCTTCCCTGATCCCCAAGGCCTCTCTCTGCCTGTGGGCAATCTGCAGCAAGAGCCTCCTAGCCTCTCTGAGGGTTGCAGGATGACTCCCCCCTCCCAGGCTGGCTGGAGCATTTATATCTTCTAATTCCACCCCCTGGCTTTCCCACACTTTTTGGCCATAGAGGCATCTGGGATTTGTAGGCCTACCCTGGAGTTTTGTCCTACTTCCCAGGGTGGGTGGCCATTTTAACTAAACTAAGCAACCTAAACTAAAGCAAACACAAGATGAAGTCTATTCTGTCACATCCAACAAGCCAACCCTACAGCACAATATCATTTTCCAATCTAAACATTTTCAAAAGTGTATAAACTCCCAAAATTGCCAAAAGGAGTCAAAATAATTTTCTCCAAGACAATTAGGAGGCTTGAAAATGATGCAAAAACATAGGTTAATAATAAACTATAATTTCTCATCTAATAATTCCAGCAGCAGCAAACACCAGGCTCCCATCCAACAATCAATACTAGCCATTTAAAAGAGCCAACTGCCAAAAAATGTTATATAAAATAAATATGTAAAACTTTGATTAGATTCTGCAATGGCTTTAGAACAATTAATCTACTATTAATGTATGAAGCAGTATTGTTTGGATTTATTGGCATGACAATTGATACCATCAATATTTCTTTTCATATCCAAGAAGTTCTGAGAAAGGGGTTGCAAGTGCATGCTGCAGGCACCAACAGGGCTCTGTGAAGTGTGAAAGATGGACTTCCCTGCCTGGGAGGGGTGAGGCCAGTGCCAGTCATATGTGCTTGCTCTGTTCAAGCCAAGGAGGAGAGAAGGAATGGAAGGGACTTGGGAGAGCTTGCTTGCCTGGTCTATTTGCCCCAGCTGGCCCCCCACCTGCACTCTCCCACTAAATAAAGTGCAGCACGTACCACTACTGACCTGACCCTTGAGCTGGGGAAGGCTGTGCAGCTGGTTGTTGACTCTGGGCTGCTGGCTCTGGAGTCTGTACTCTGAATAGTGACACCAGGGACCTAGAAGGGGCAGGGCTTGTCAGTCCAACCCCTCTCATCAGGGCTGGCCTCAAGGCAATTGGAGCAATTTGGCCAAATTGGGCCCCGCGGGTCGCTCCAAAGGGGCCGCACTAGGGCAATCTAGATGGATTTTACTTATATCTCTAAGATTCTGCAGACTTTGGCCGTGAACTGGGGCCCCACAAAAATTTTTCCAGTTGGGCCCTAGAGTTTCAAATTGGACCCCACTGGCTGGCCCTGAGTCTCATAGTTGCTGGGCCCGAGTTGCCCTGCCCTCGCATGAAGTCTTGGGTTTGCAATTTTGGGAGAGGGGAGACTGCCTGCTGGGGGGGGGGGGCAGGGCTGTGGAGGCACCCTAGATTTAGAGGCCCTAGGCTTCAGCCTACTTAGCCTATACATAAATCCGGCACTGCTGGGAACTATGCACAGACCTCCTGGTTCATGTCTAGTTTGGCCCTTAGAGAGAGGGCCGGAGAAGTGTTCATCACAGTTTTGAGGGAGTCAAAATCCTCATTTGCACTATTTAAAAGGGTCAGGAACGTATGAAATCGCTCTGAAAGTGTCTCCTGCATTGAAAGCTGCTTTCAAGCAAACAGAAAAAACTACCCTGTCTTGCGCAGGCAAGCCTTCAGAGTACTTTAATCAGGTCACCGGAGCACACCAAAGTCTCTTTCACCAACTTATCGTCCTTGCTGGCTGCCGCCTTTCATGCCTTTCACAAATTGATGTCAGAGGCCAAGGGGATCTCCCTAGAGAACAGGTTCCTGCCTGTTACTTTATGCATAACCTTACAGAAGAGCTAGAATATTACAATGTGACTTGATATCGTGGAAATGGATGGACACAACTATACAGTGTTTGTGGGAGGTGCTTCTAGATGGCTTACTTATGCCCTGAAGCAGTACACAAAGCACCCACAAGACAAACAGAGACTATGGAAATCTCCAGGATGGTAACTGCTGTACAAATGGTAAAATAGCGTAAAACCAGAATAGCGCACTCAAAGAGTAAAGATTAAAAGAAACATCTGCAATGCCAGACACATCCTACTGTGCTAATTTGCCACAGCAGAAGCTGCTGCCTGCCTCAGTTTCAGCATCCATAAGAGATTTTCTTCAACCAAATAAATCGACTTAAGACCCTGCAGTAAACGGTATGTGTCCCTTAGATATCTGCCTAACAATGTCCTACCTTCAGTTCTTACTAAGGGCGTGCAAGGAACCATACAGTTGCCTGAGAGTCCAGCACATGTTACTATTTTAAATGTTAGGTAGCGAGGCAGTTCTGTCAGACAGCCCCTCTCTGTGGTATGACAAAGATGAAATTGCCTTAGGGACTAGAGGCTGGTACATAAGAAGATCATGCCGATTAGAGCCTGGAAAAGCTTCTTCTGCCTGCCCGACATCAGCAACTCCAGGTGGCTTGTTCGAGAACATCAGGCAAGCACAAACTGAATAGGTTTTCTGAGGTGAGTTGCCAAAGGCCCTGCATATGTACACCCCCTTGCCAAATAAATCCATGTTCACAGAGGGGAAAAGAATTGCAGTGAGCTGCCAAAAGCGCCTACTCACACATGACTGTATTTGCAAGGACAAGACACACATACCTGACAGATTGCTAATAAGTCAATGTTACATAGAAATCAAGGCTTCTCCTAAGCATCCAGTGGATTAAACTAAACCCAAAAAGCTTCAGGTAACAGCAGCACCCATTGTTATGGGGCCAACTTTACAAAATAAAGCTGGCAACTAAATCACACCAACCCACACGATTAAAAGCTTTGCCACAGCAATGCTGGGATTTGTTATTCCAAATAAGGCAACTGGCAAGCTACATGGAAAAAGGTGGGAGGGCAGGATAAGTCAGATGTGACTTTGATGCAGAAAAGCATTCTTTTCTTGCAAGCTTCCAAAGGGGGGGGGGGGGGGGGGGGGGAGTGAAACCAACCTGCAGCCAACTATGCCCCTGCCAGTCACAGTTATTCACATACAACTATTTGCAAAAAACAAGGAACTGAGCCTAGAACTGCAGCATTGGCTGTTGGACGGAAGCCAGACAAATTGAAGAACCATGTTTATCCAGAAGGGAATATATTCAGACATTACAAAATTAGCCCAGGCAGTTTACATTTAAGCATTGGATGGCAAATATGAGATAACAAGTGGGAGACTAGTGGGAGACTAGCTAAGACTTGGAGGGGGGACATCTCATTTCCCCCTTCCCTATTATTTCCTCATTCCCTTCGCAGACAGCCCCCATTATCTTCTCCGCCTTGTTTCCTTCTCTCCTTCCCACCTGCCAGCCTACCTACATTTTCCCACCCCTGTGTTCAGCATTTTCTCCTTTATTCCCCCACCAGCATCTGCCAGCCCAGCAGCAGAGCTGGGGAGCCTGCAAAGACTAACATAGTATCCATAG